GAAGTATCGATAATATTGATAATACAGATATCGATAATACTGATATCGATGTTGAGGTATCGATATTGGGGTACCGCATATTCGATTGTACTTCATGTTCCCAACCACACGGAGCGCTAAACGCAGTCACCATACTTTTGCATTGAGTTGGTTATCTATAAAGGTATACTTGTCTATGGTTCTAACTAATAGATTACAGAAAACTATGCCGCACTGCGTTGCCTGCGTCTCAATGTGCGCCCGGCCTTAACAGTGTGGTAGCTGCGGCCGTAGCTATGACTACTAACGATTTCAACGGTTATGTCCATAATTAAAAACACATCCGCAGCGCTGTATAACGGTGCTGTCCAAATAGTAAGCCGCCGAAAAACCGCTCAGTGAGCTATCTATAATATGTATAATCAATGCTATTGACTTAATAAACATTGCATTACCAACATCTCCATTTTTTGAAGGTGGATTTTCTTCATTGCACAGTTCTAATACATTTGTATTTGAAGTAACAGTTTCAAAAACCAATGGTTGAATTAATGACAAAGTGCTTTCATTATGGAGTTTTATGGATTTTTCAACTATAAAATAAATTTAACATTTAATATTTAAATATTTATACATTAAATATTAAATACAATATAATATAATTACCTTCTACTGACTTAATAAACATTGCGTTAGCACCATCTCCATCTAGTCTTGATACATTTGAATTTGCAGAAATAGTTTCACAAGCTATAATAGTTGAATTTTTAATTAGCAATAACTATCTCATGGCAGTGGCGTAGCCAGGAGGGAGGCTGAGAAGGCTGCAGCCCCCCCCCCGAAATGTTAATAAAATTTAAAAATTATTTTAATGGTTTATGGTAATCGATCAAAAACTAAACCACCGCTGTGTAAAAAATTGATCAGTCCCCCCCCCCCTCCGAAAAAAATCCTGGCTACGCCACTGTATCATGGTGACCATCAATAATTATGTATTTCTTACTAACCTATGATATCAATTTCTACATTAATTATAGTTTATTAAATACAGCCATATAATTAAATTGGGTTGATTTCGAATTTGAAATAACAGTTTTAGATTGAATAAATGACAGAATACTTCTATTCCCTTGAATAGATTTTTCTTTCTGTTTCAACATCTGTCTCGCTCCACCGGACAATCTAATTTTTTTCAACGGTTGTTGAGAAGGTTCCATTATTATTATTATTAATGTACAATTGAACAACATACAATAATAATGAAGAACAGTAAATAACTAATAACTAATAAATTATAGGTATAGGTACTCGCACTGCTCGCTGTACGCAAATGCCAAATAAAGATGATTTTGCTTAATACTATTCCGAGTGTTCCTACAACGCTAGCCACACTTGCAGTCGTAATTTTATTAATTTATAGTATTTATAAACAATATGAATAGTTCTTATATAGGATTGTCAGCGCGTGGCATACCGTAGAACGGGGTGTAGTGGACCTGGTCGTGTGAAATGGACCATTTTCATTTTTTTGAATGTTCATCAGTATAACTTTAACATGGTTGGATCAAAATTAATTTACTAAATTTTACCTCCATGGCAGTATGACAACGAACAATTTTTGATACTATAGTGATAACAATTTACAGGACAATCCTTATCAATTCTTATCATTTTGTTTTGCTCAAAATAACGATTTTTTTTTTTTCATTCAAACGTCGTCTGGATCTCAAAAGTAAGTAATACTAAGTATATTTTTCATACCTTAAAATGTGTTTATTAAGTTCTTGTTAACCATTTAACATACTAATAATAAGAAATTTGTTATAATTTTCACACTTAGAAATAATAATTTCGAAAATTTCAGAAACGTAGTGCGAAGTGGACCACGACAAAATGGCCAGAAAACATAAAAAAAATTATACCGGTCGGTATAATTTAAAATACACAGAACAAAATTTAGCCCTGGCAATCAAGGCTGTTAAAATGAAACGACTTTCATTAAGAAAAGCGTCAGAAAAGTTTGGTATTCCACGTACAACTTTGAACAGAAAAGTAAAGGGAACTCATACTTTAAATTACGGTGGTCAAAAAGTATTAAATGACAATGAAGAATCTATGTTGTGTGATTGTCTTTTGTTATGTGCCCAATGGGGATTTCCTATGTCAAGAAAAGACTTGAGGTTAGTTGTAAAAAGTTATCTTGATGAGTTGGGGCGAACTGAAAAAAGATTTAAAAATAATTTACCCGGTACAGAGTTTGTTATTCGGTTTTTGAAAAATCATCCACAACTTAGTGAACGTTTTGGAGAAAATATCAAAAGAGTTAGAGCTAGTGTAACACAAGATATTGTAAATGATTATTTTGATAATTTGACGAAGTCTCTTGAAAATGTTTCACCATCTAGTATAGTGAACTATGATGAAACAAATTTTACTGATGACCCAAAAAAACAAAAAATCATTGCAAAAAGAGGTTCTAAACATCCAGAAAATGTTTTAGACTCAACTAAAACAAGTGTATCAGTTATGATGGCAGGAAGTGCAGATGGAGAATTATTACCTCCATATATAGTATATAAAGCAGAAAACTTATACCCAACTTGGACTGAAAATGGGCCACAAGGTTGCAGATATAATAGAAGTAAAAGTGGTTGGTTCGACCAACAAATTTTTGATGATTGGTTTCATTCTTTAGCTCTACCTTTTTTAAAAAAAAAACCTAGTCCAAGGGTCCTTATTGGAGACAACTTATCAAGCCATGTGTCTTTATCTGTTATTCATGCATGTAAGGAAAATGATATTAGGTTTATTTTATTGCCACCTAATTCTACTCACATATGCCAACCATTAGATGTGGCATTCTTTGGACCACTTAAAAAGAAATGGAGAGATATTTTATTTATGTGGAAAAGTTCAAATAGAGGCGTGGTACCTAAATCTCAATTTCCTGGTCTATTAAAATCTACAATTGATGCACTTGAAACAAAAAATACCAACTTAGTAGCTGGATTTGCTGCATGTGGTATAGTTCCTCTTGACCGTACAAGGGTCCTTAAAAAGCTACCTGATTATATAGACTCAAGTATGGATTTTTCTGCAGCTTCATGGTCAAGTTCTATTATTGATGTTCTAAAAACCACTAGATGTCCAGAAGTCAGAGAAAGGGCTCGAGTTAGAGGGAAAAAGATTAACGTAGAGCCTGGTAAAAGTGTGGGGGCTGATGATTCTGAGTCTGAAAGCTCTAATGATGGTTCTAACAGTTATGAAAGTTCTGATGATTCTAATAGTTATGAAAGTTCTGATGAAGAAGTTGATGATAATGTGGTTCAGTCTCCTCCAACTGCTTCAAATGGTAATTATATAAGTATTTTGTCGCCACCGCCTATTGACTCTACATGTAATAATGAATCTGCTTCAAAATATCAAGTTAATGATTTTATTGTAGCAAGATTTAAGTCCAATAAAAGAGGTCTGTTGTATGTTGGTAAAATTTTAAAATTGAATGAACAAACATTAGAAGTAAGTTTTATGAGAAAGATTATTGGAAAGAATGATGTATATTTCTCTTTTCCAAATGTGCTTGATGAATGTGAAATTGATTATAATGATATTGTATGCAGTATTACCAAACCAATAGACTTGAGAAGAAACAGATTTAAGTTCTTTAGTTTAAATCTAGACTATGATCTCCTAAACTAAATTACAAATATTCCTAAAAAAAGGCTAATTATTTTTAAGTATTAAACTTGTTGATTTTGTTATAACTTTAAGTTACCTTTATTGTTACCTACATGTTTAATTATGTTCCTATCAAGAAGATAAAGTAAAGGTTGTTATTTATTTTTTTTTTAAATGTTTTTAATTTGTTGTACCTATTGATTATACCAAGGAAGGTAAAAAGTAAGATTATTTTATTTTTAACATTGTAACAAATTGCTCAAATTATTAAATAAATATGGTTAAACAATTGTTTATACTCAAAATATTGTCTTATTATTTTTTAAAAATGTAATTTAGTGGTCCACTTCAAAACTAGAATCGATTGAAGTGGTTTTTAATGAAAAATAAATGACTGGTCCACTTCACCCCACATATTGAGGTAAAGTGGACCAATTTTTAGCACAAAAAAAAAGTTCAAAAAAAGTTAAAAAAACAAAAAAAATGTCATTAACTGTAGTATACATATGTCTAGATTATATATTCCAAGTTTCAATCGTTTTACTCAAAAACATTCTTCAGAATCTTAAGAAGTATACCAAAAACCGGTCCACTTCACCCCATTCTACGGTACAGTCAAAACAAACAAATCGCTAGATAGGCCGTCGTAGAGACGTAAATAGCGGGATTCCCGTTAATATCCAACAAACGATAATAATAAAACAATTCCGGACTATAACTTTCAGTCATCAATATTTTGATAATTACTGTAATAGTGTAATAGTACAAACCTTTTTTAAAATTAATTTTATCTTACACAATATACACAGTTGTCACAAATTCTCACAATACAGTAGGTATTGCTGGGTATATAAAAATTAAAAATTGTGAAAATTATAAATAGGGGCCACAAAAATAGGAATGGAGGACGTTCCCCGGGGCATTGCCCTGGCTGCCCGGTTGGATGTTGCGGCACTGAGTATTACAAGCACTACAAGTCATATTTTCTATTGTAACTTCTTTAGACATGTCATTCAACATAGAATGCATAGTGACAGTTTTTGTATCATTTGGTACATTAAGTTGAATTATATAATTATTTGAAATATGTACTCTACTCTTTTTACACCTAGAGCATTTTAATATCGTCTGAAGTTGATGAAGCAAAGAATTGTGTAAGGGTTCATATAAAGATATGAGTGCACTAATAAATTCAGCAGTATCTTGCTGTTCTATGTTAACGTAAGGATGACCAATCTGATTTCTTATACTAAATGCACTTAGTTGACATACTTGTGATGTGTATGAGTATACACTAAATAAAACATACTTAATCATTTATAAAAAGCTATTCAATCTAATAAAATACCGGAATTCTGTGGTTTCGGTTTTTCATGGCATTTAGGATATGGTGGTATATTTGTAGGAGGTGACAATAATTGTTTTATTTTTGGTCTTTTTAGTATAAATTAAAATTTTATTAAAAAAAAAAATTAAGTAGGTACCTATTTTTAAATGATGGTGAACATAAACATTTAACAAAATTGACATCATTCCACAACTACTCAAATGTCTTGACAAATATAGTACCTACATACCTAGACTATCACGAGGTGGACCATATTTTTCTTTTGTTTTTTTTTCGAGTATGTTCTGCATCTGATGTCAAAATGGAAGAAGAAAAATTATATTGTACAATTTGATTCAGTTTTTTTATTCCTCTCGGTTAGGATATTTACACTTTAATTCACCATTAATTCTTCCTACCCACTTTCTCGGTATAAATTGAATGCCATCACTGAATTCAGCAATGAAATAAATTCTAGAATGTACAATAATATTTTAATACCATACTTTGTTCACCTTGCTTAAGAGGACGCCACACGGGCAAACGAAACCGAGCAACGACCAAGAGAATGCGCTGTTAGGTGTTTTCGTGATCCGCAAGCACGCGACGTTTAAGCCACGCCCACTACACATTGTCGTCTGTCGGCCGACGATTGTGCTCATCAGTGTTGCCGAACTGGCTATTTTATAGCTAGATCTAGCTTTTTTGAATCGACGTCTAGCTATGAAAATATTGATCTGGCAGGTAGCTATTTAAATGGCATTTTCTGCAATAATAATAAAGGCAATATAGCTATTTTAGCTTTTTCTCAAAAAACTGATTTTTTTTTGTAAATTTACAACCTTGCAGTTATTAGAATCATTTTCTTTCATAATCACATTGATTACAAGTACCACCACCCCGTTAGTTACTAATTAGACAACAACTATGGTTAAATTGAATAATGTAGAAGTACCACATGGAGGAATTTATTATTATTGTATAGTATATACTGTAAAATCACGAGTTTAGATAATATTTTAAATTTTAATCTTAACCGTCGTATACTACCAATTGTACCAAACACGGACTACAGAGATAAGAGATTCATGTCTCAATGTCTCATGAGACATGAATCATGATAGTATTATAGTAAAGACGTAAAGTTCGAAGCGCGATTATGAAGAACTTCTTTATAATCGTGGTTCGTAGTCATTAATTCCAAAATTAGTAGTTAGAACTCAATTTTTGTTATTTTATTTTATTTTATCGTTATACCGAAGTATTAAGTATGGGTAAAACTCAATACCCACAGAAATTTAGGGATGAGTGGTTAGTGCATTCTTCATTTAAGGACTGGTTAATTAAAATTGAAGATGACACGTCTAAGTGTAGATGTCGATTTTGCAAGACTGATATTAATTCTAAACATTTTGATCTTGTACAACATGCAAAATCAAAAAAACATCAAGAGGCCTCCAAAGCGTTTTCAACATCTCGATCAATGACTACTTTTGTACAGCAGACCACATTAAAGACAGCAGCTGCAGAAGGTGCTCTAGCATTATTTATCGCAGTCCTTTGCTCAATTTTGTCTTGTGACCACCTCGGAATATTATGCAAGAAACAATTCCAGGAATCGGAAGCGGGCAAGAACATCAGAATGCATCGTACAAAGTGTACAACTGTAATATCAAATGTCTTATCACCACATTTTCAAGCCACTCTAAGGGCAAGCATTGGGGAACAATCATTTAGCCTATTAATCGATGAGTCAACCGACATCAGTGTACTCAAGTTTTTAGGTATAACGATCATGTATTTTGATTTAAAAGTGGGTAAGATTGTTTCTACATACTTGGCTTTAGTTGAGATGGAAGCATGTGATGCAGATGCCATACAAAAAGCTGTTTGTGATGCTATTGACAAAAAAGGACTAGATATAACGAAGATGGTGGGTCTAGGAAGTGATAATGCGTCGGTGATGGTGGGAATCAACAATGGCGTTTACACAAAACTTAAGGAGAAAGTTCCTTCTCTAATCCATATTCCGTGTGTATGTCATTCATTGCAACTAGCAGTTTCGGCAGCAGCAAGTACAACATTACCCAGAAATATAGATTATTTGATCAAAGAAACTTATAATTGGTTTAGCCACTCAACACTAAGACAGGCTCAATATAAAAATTTATACAGTGCAATAAACGATGGACATAATCCTCTTAAAATTGTAAAATCATGTGATACAAGATGGCTGTCCATTGAAACAGCTGTTGGGCGCATATTAACTCAATGGATTGAGTTAAAAACACTATTTGGAATAGCTCGACAAAAAGAAAAATGTTATTCGGCAGAAGTTTTATATGGTATGTATTGTGATTCACACAACTTGGCTTATTTAACATATTTACATCCAATATTGAAAGAAGTGCAAATGGTAAATAAGTCTTTTGAATCAAACAATGCAGATCCAAGTAAATTACTATGTGACTTAACACTTTTGGTGAGCTCAGTCGCAAAAAGATTTGTTAATCCTTATTGTCGAGAAGATCCTCTTACATGTAACATGGATAGTCACATTAGTCCAAATATACAATGGCCCTATGAATTTACACAAATTCTACAAGCCAGTAAATCATCTGAAGAAAGTAAGAAGCAATTGAAAGAAAGGTTAGTAAGCTTTTTGCAAATATTATTAAAACAATTGCAACAACGCTTACCAAAAAATATTACTATAATGGAAAATGTGTCTATGATATCTATAAAAAATTGTTTAAGAGTGATAAAGGAGCCACTGACACCAGTTTTGGAACTCTTGATGTTAGATGTTCAAACAATTGACAAAATAAATTTTCAGTGGCAAAATTTAACTCACGTTAAATGGATAGAAAAAACCAGTACAACACAATTTTGGCAAGAAGTTGCAGAATATAGCGATGCTAGTGGCTTAAATCCATATAATGTGTTATCGTCTGTAGCAATAAAACTTTTTTCATTTCCGTGGTCAAATGCAGATGTTGAAAGGCTGTTCAGTCAGATGAATATAGTGAAGACCAAATTGAGAAATCGTATGGGTCCAAAATTACTTGATTCAATTTTAACCATAAAAGCTGGGCTTAGACGTGTAGAAATGTGTTGCTCACAGTATCCACTGCCACTAGAAGTCTTAAACTTAATATCAAAATCATATATATATCCATCTCAAGAAAATCTTCCTCAAAACAATAATGAAGTAGGACACCTTATTGAATATTTAGATGTAGATAGCCCTATATTGTTCTGATAACATTGATAGGTACTTAAATTTCACTGTTATTTATATTTAAATTGTTACTACTTATCATATAACACAGTTCCTTATTATTTTGATTTTAAAGTTATTTATTCTTATGGACCTAAGTCATATTGTTTTTTTATTTATACAACAAAGTTAACTGTTATTTTTATTTAAATTGTTACTACTTATCTTATAACAAAGGTACCTTTTATTTTTTGTTTTAAGTTTTGGGTGCATTGGTGCTTTTAATAAAACATGTTACTACAACAATTTTTGCTATTGTTTTTATTCTTAACTGTTAGGTAGTTATTATTTTATAAAAGGTCCCTATTATTTTTATTTTAAGTTAATGTTGGTGCTATTATAAAACTACCTGAAATGTGAGAGTGATTTTATAATTTGTTTATTTTGTAATTTTATCATATTATTTAAATATTATTGAGTGGTATTTTCAATATGTGTATTTATATATTGAAGCTATTTATCTTATATAAAATTATAAAACATAAAAAAAATCAGTTTCAAAAATGAAAAGGTAAAGAAATAATGAAGGAAATTTTTTTTAGCTTATTCTAGCTTAATGAACGAAAAAAATGAGATAGCTTTTTCTAGCTTTTTTACATACAATATTTACTTTTTT